CAAACCACCATGGATACAAGTTGTTTTCACTTGTAGTTGTCCTATTTTATTTTTTTTGCCTTTCTTTTGCCCATCTTTATTTAACGAAACAGATGAAAAATAACAAGCACTAACTCTATTTGTGATCAATGGAAAATCAGCAAAGGCCATTTTTGTTAAATATAAATCTATAAAAAAAAATTTGAATACCAATCTTGGTAACAATACAAAATATTTATAAGTTGCAGTCACTTTTATATCAATTTCTTAATTTTTCTACATTATTCTGTCAATTGTAAACTCGATCAGCAAAAGCGTTAGCCAAACTGTTGGAACTATGTATGACAAGAGAACCATGTCCAAACGCCAGGATCATTAAAAATCTGTGCAGTTTTGTTTACAGTGATCCTTCAGTCACTCCAGCAGTAAATATCTGTTTAACAGTAGCTTCTGATGAACCTCCTTTGTCACCAATACCTGAGGGACAGTCAGAATCAAATTGTAACTCAGTCTCTTTTGGAGGAACAAATGCATCTATGGAACGAGGGAACAATGTATAATGCAATAAGTATAGTGGGATTCTGTCTCTTGTTCAGCAGCAGATGATGCTTTGGGTTACAAATCATATAATTGCTGCACTTAAGTCTGTACATTTATTTTCTTGTCTTTGTTAGTAACTCTTGGAAGAGCTTACTATGTGTTTGAGTTTGAAGTAGTGTTGCATGTAGTCTTAGAATTATGAAATAATGATGTACACCTACTGCTTAGCCTGTGTTTGTGCAGTGCTTTCCTGGTTTCTTGAACTGGGCTCTTTATTCTAGTACCACAGCTCCCAGAGTGGATTGAGTTTTTTCTCCTTAAGAAGAATTTTTTTGCTTGTGTCACAATTTGTGACAATTTTTATTACTTAGGGTTACTTACTCCTGTGGCTGAGTGGCTTTTTGAACTGTTTCTTTTTTCTTTTGAATTTTTAACACAATGCAAATGCTTCAGCTTCTAAAAAAGCAAGTGGCAATGCGGGTTGTAACGAGCTTCAACCACCTGCTGTGGATGGGGTGTCTGTGGCCTCTCTTGATGCTCATGGATGATTCTGAGGTGAGGCCTTCCTTAGATAGAAAATCTCCATCTTTTTTATGTAGATGGCATAAGTTTTAAGTATTCAACAAAGAGGTGCAGAATTTTCTCTGGTCAAATTAGCAAATAATTTTGGTGGCTTGCTACCCTCAAAGTTACCCAAACTGTGGGAGACAGTTGTGGGGCCTCTACAACAGATAAGAAATGGAAATTCATTTGGTAAGTACTACACATGGCTCCTTGAATTGGATTAAGGGGATTTTATAAGGATGTTTAAAACCAATTGATTAGAAAAAGTTAGCTTGGCACCATTGATTTTTTTTGCTTGATTTGAGTGTTATTAGAATACTTTTGAAATTTGTTATTGGTGTAGTTTGGAGTGTATCTTGTACAGATTATTCCTTGAGATGCGCGGACAAATATTTTTTATTCGCAAGTTGTGATGCATCAAGGTTATACATGCCGAGATATTTTTCTTATTGACCATCGAAGATCGGAGGAAAGCAACTGTGACATGGTTCATCCAGTCAGACACAAACAATAGTACTTCAGTGTAAATCTCAGTGTTTGAAATTTAAGTCCATACCAACCTCTATTGTGTGAATGATTGTCACACACCCAGTATTGACTCCACTGTACTTTTTTAGTCAAATGAATAGATTGTAAGCCTGCTGACTGATATAAAAGATGACGTTCTACAGTCAGTGATTTAATAATTTTTGGCCAGAGGAAATTCTTCATGCCACTCATGGAAGTCCAACTTACATATTTGACTATCGAAAAGATATAGCTAATGTGCCACGAGAGAGAGAGTAAATAGTGCAATGTAAAATTCCTAAACATTAAAGATTAGGACATATTAACCTCAATTCTTAACTATCTCTGTCCATGTTCTAATATTTTCTTATTGTCCAGATAAACTTATTGGTCTAGATAATGAAGCCTAAAATCTGTTGAACTGCTTACAAATTCTTTAAGTATTGACACCTGCAATGCATGTGGAACTCTCATCTTAGGTAACATTGATCATTGCTGGCAAGTTTCCTCATTTTGGTTTTCTCAGTGAGCTTGCTAACTCGGCAGCCAGGTGCCTGGGTGTCCTGTGCACTGTGTCCTTCTCTTCATTGGCAGTTTACAGATGTGGTATGAATGATTCAGTTGAAAAGGCTCGGGTCAGAGGATTTTTCGTTGAAATTTACCTGGTGCCCCCCTAAGGCTCTGTAGTATTCTTATTACCCCCTCCCCCTTCCTTCATCGTTAATTTTCCATAGTCTCCCCTTTGGACTCTGTTAGCGACGACAGATCCCCCCTCGGTTCCCCCTGAAAACCGTGCGATCCCTCCCAAAATCCTTCCCCTCCCCCCGACGATAAATAGTGACTGGTTCATTGCTTCTCGCCATTTTCAAGGAGAGTAAAGCTTATTTTTGCTGTGTTTTCACTATCCACAAATGTTGGTATCCTTCACTGGTTGCTTTACATCAGGTGTAATTGATCGGCTCGGAATGGGTACGTCTTTCACTTTGATAATAACTGAGCGCATTACCATGCTACATTGAAAGCAGCTTGCTATTTTGCTCCTTGTCTTTTACTTTGTTGGAATATACCCTTCCTATCTAAGCAAGAGGTTTGACAGAAACGTCATCGTTTAAAACAATGGTTTGATGATCTGTGCACCTCAATTTTGTTGTAATGTTCTTGGACGACACCTCTCATTGCAACGGATGAAAAAGAACAAAGAGGACGTATGTCTTGCAGCTTGAAATTTGTATGTGATTCATTCTGGAGTGTTCGTAATTTTATTTCGACAGAGCAAGGGTAGAAAAACATGCAGTCCTTAATTGGAACCCTATAACTATTTCATTGGTTCCTTAACTCTATATTGTTTTCTTTAGTCTGGTATTCCTGACCCGCCCGGCATGTCCAAAGCTACGGTGGAGCAAAAACAGAAGGAAAGAAAATTTCTTGAGCAACTTTTGGACAGTAAAAAGGTGGAGAATTACACCATTCCTGTTCCTATCAAAGCTGAGCTGAGAAAATATCAACAAGTCGAGTGCTAGAAGAAAACAACGGAAAGAAAGCCTTTATTCATGTTGGAATTATAAACTAGTGGTCTCTGTTTGAAATGATGTACTGAACGGTGTGCGACGA